GAATAATGAAGCGCGCTCGAAAGGCACGTTGAGTGGCGACAATGGAGCGGCCATTACCAAAGTATGCCTCGACGGCAAACGCGCGATGCTCTCTTGTCCAAAGCATGATCGAGACTGGCTGTGGGGGGAACAAAAATTGAGGACCTATCCTTTCGGACGCACCCCCTCCCAGCTTCCTACCTTCACCCCTTGCCGTTTGGCGCGTTTTTCAAAAAAGTAAGTTTCTCTGCCGCACCCTGTATATAGCTTATTTAAAATAAAAATATTAACATTTAAAAAAATATAATATAACCTTAATGTTAATATTTTTAAATTAAATAAACACTACGCGCAATATTTCTGATGTACAATTTATGGATGTAGCATGATTATACAATATAAACCAAATATCAGTTTATTATCTGGAGTTGAAAAGTGGACGTATTACCCTTAGAAAAGTGGTACGGTTTACCGTCAGAGCTATGTAGGTTACATCTACTTTGTCAGAGGGCAGTAGTGCGCGGCAGCATTTTGCGGTTACAAGTTTTAGACCGGCATGTTTTCTCTCAGGTTTTTCTCTGGTTAAAGTTTTCACCTTTCATTTTCCATCCTAGGGATAAAGTTCATGATTGATACGCTGTACTGGAAATCAGAAAATAGGAACACACCTAGTGTCGTTATGAAATTAGAGAATAGCACTGCTGATGCCATTTCATTAAAGTCGTTAGATTTATGAAGTACCATAATTGATTTCAGAACTGATACGTCAAAATGGCCGAAGTGTACATAGGACACGATTTCAAGTACATATTGGGTACAATTGAGTGCCATTAATCTAACCTTGTCTTGGTTAAATAATCTGTTAAAAATACTCAAGCTCTTGCATACATGTGATGATTCGTATTCCTGAACAGTTCTGTACTTACATGTACCTTTTGTGCACTTCTATGTATTAAACTCTATTCTACAGTAAATAAATCCGTATTAAACTAAAATACACATAAATTAAACATTCGTACATATTTTTTTGGAAAAATTAAAAAGATTATACATTACAGGTGAATACAAATTAATTTCCTTGGACGTTATCTCACTTTTCACGAATGTTCCAATAGATATAACGGTTGATTGTGTGAATGAACAATGGTGTTTTATTTTCAAGAAATGCTCTCTGCCTAAGAATGAGTTTCTGGGAGCGATACGGTTCGTTTTAGATACCACCCTTTTTTCATTTGACAATAAAATCTATAAATAAAGCTTCGGCGCTCCCATGGGCTCTCCTTTATCACCTGTAATAGCGGACCTAATAATGAGAAGATTAGAGATGGTGTCCTTGATGTTGTTGAATGTGGATATTTTATTTTATTATAGATATGTAGATGACAATTGTACTGCAGTTTGTCCCTCAAAATATTTTACTACAACAATTTAATTCATTTCATCCGCGTCTTCAATTTACTATAGAAATAAGGGGAGAAAAATAGATTTTTTGGTATCACTATATCTATTAATAAGAATTGTTTTATTTTTTATTGGTACCTTTTCAGGGAGATTTTTAAATTTCCGCTTAAATCATCGAATTACATAAAAGAAAGGTACAATTTTTTCGCTAGTTGACAGAGCTTTTTTACTTTCTGACTTTATGTTTCATACAAAAAATTTGACATTTATTATTAACGTTTTATTAGATAATGACTACCCATTAACTTTTATTTTTGACACAGTTAATCAACGTATAAAAAATTTACTTAAAAATAGACACATTGGACATAAAGATTTGGTTGACAATGTCTGTGCGAATAAATCTGCATCTTGGCTTACGGTAACATTTATTCCTTTTCACACAGAAAAATTTAACGGTTCAATAGAAACAACATCAGGATATCTTTTCATAGTCCTAATAAAATGGGTAAATATATTAAAGTACAAAAGGATATTTGTCTCTATACATGTAAGAGCAATGTAGTTTATAAGATATCGTGTAATAATTGTGATGCATCGTACGTTGGACAGACGGACAGACAATTGAAAACCAGAATTACAGAACATCATAATCATATTAGACATAACACTTCTGTCCGTTCTGTCATAACGGAGCACAGGCTGCAATACGATCATGATTTCCAATGGGACAATGTTAAAAT